AAACATATGGAAGGAGTCTGTTCGAGACTCCATTTGTCTTTTGCCGAAGCTCAGACTCTGGCACAGAATCGGGAACGTTGGAAGCTCTGTTTGACGTGTTTGTCTCCGCGATCCAAAAGGAGAAGCGGCGATGGACGATGAAGATGATGATGAACTAAAATAGTAATCCTTGACGGGGGTAATGCCTCCAAATCTGACTGTAACACTTATCCCTTTAGGCGATAGTCTAAGTGCCAGGATAGGTCATCGCCCTTCTAATGCTGTTATATGGACTTATTCTACTTCGCTACGATTGACCACTGGAGCAGTTATGCTTCATAGCACACGGTATAGATGCACCGAAACGATGTATAGGCGTATATACTCACTATACGCCTGCTCTCTGAAAAACACTTCCTGAAATTAAACGGCTCTTACTTTGACTTAAATTCTCGACGCTGTCAAGCGAAAACTCTTTAGCTTGCATTGAAGAACATTGGCGTTGAAGAATGGCTGCTGTCCCTACACAAGCCCTGCAGATTTACATGTTCCTTCATTTGGATTGGATAGTATTTCGCATATCTTCAAAGCGACATCGGGTTAATGTCATAACTGACAATGGCGAAATGATTTTCTACAGTACCATAGACTATATTTTTTGAGAGGCAAATATTACTTGTTTTGGTAATCAGTGTTGCCGACCAGGCATTCAACATTTTGCTCTGCGCCGAACCAGATACGGATTACCCCAATGCCTTCTGAAGCGTTCTAAAGGGTGGCGTAGCCACTGAACCCTATCATCTAGTGGCAAAAAACTAAATTTTCGAACCTGTTGACTGGACCCTAAAATGCCGACCTTCCGATGGGCGCCAACATTATTTATTGGGTGGATATGTTAATTTATCCTGAACATATCGACCGATGCATATTTGACATTATCCGGCATATCAATCTATTTTTCTCCGTCGTCTTGTCGTCCTCCTGCTACTAGCAATAAGATAGGCTCCAGGGAAATCCGCCTTTATCTGTTATGTCGCAAAACTGAACAGTAAAAGTCAAGGGTTATGTTCCTTGCTCGTTTATCTGCAAACCACAGTAAAGGAGCGCTTGCTTTTCGAAAGGCGCCGGAGGAACAGTCGCCTTGAAAGTCAGATACAACACAGACGTACCTCTAACGGACTTCAACGGCACAGCTATATCCGGTTACATCTATTTAGTGATGCAAAGGTCACGTCGATTGGCGACAAATAAGAGTAACGTGATTATTATGACACATATCAATGAGTTAATTGTGCATAGAAAGTAGCAGTTAATAAAAAGTTTTGCGTCGCTCCGGAATTCGATTGACGCCTTTCTAAGTGCAAAATATTTTCGTAATGATGCAAAAATATGGATCTAATAATTGATGAAATCGAAATAGAAATTGCGGTCGCAAAAAACAGAATAAAAGCAGGGTATCACAAGAATTTGAACACATAATAAATGACTCCTTCATGACCAGATTTCAGAACACAAGGATTGAATACGTAAGACTACTGTCATTTTAGTGTCGCTTCACTGGTAAATTCCGGCAATTAAATTAATAGTTTCACCAAATACTTTATTTGCTTCTTCGATTTCAATGCTTTGCTTTTTTAATTTGCAAAAATTTGTCTTTAATCTTTGCTGAAAGATAAAATTCATTCTTCGGTACACTAATCAAATCAGTAACAATGTACCTTGAAAGAGCGTCTATCAGAGAAGCGCATGATATACGAGCATGCTAGCTGTTCTAAACTTTCTTTTTGTGGTCCTCCGTGCGTACAGTTCAAATTTAAATAACATAACTGAATAACGCATAACTTCTCCAAGATCAGGTTTTACGGTTTGTCATATCGCGCCATTTTTCTTGATGTCTAAGAAGTCGCTATCTATGCGGGCTACAACTCTGTGGTATTTGAGTACCTGCAACGCTAGCTGCATCTCGCATGCTCTTATTATCTGGAACGACCTCGTACTTAACGTATGCTGTTGACTAGATAAAATATGAAATAATAACACCTCAAACATTGTTCGCGATCAGCGAAAGGTGACTCTGTCGGCCAAAAAAATTGGGATACACATAGTAATGCAGGTGCTTTAATATAATTGAACAATGATCTGCTTAAATGCGCCCCTCAGGCAACAAGGAGCATGGGATGGGGCAACACGCCGTGAAATTGGATGTAGCAAAAGGCACGTGTTATTTGAAATACTCCAGCATGCGAGAAATTTTTTGATATGTACGCATCACTAAAGCCATGAAGAACAGTAAGTAAAGCTTAGTAAATGTAAGCATTATGAGCAAGTGCCAGCGTGGCAACAAGGTTGGTTGTGAATTCCAGGTGTCGGGTTCGAATCCGTTGAAGGGGCAGCATTTGTCTTAAGCGCGAATTCCCTACGCATGGAATTAAATTTATGCTTTTCCGCACAACCAGCCAAAAACGAGTTGGAAGTCGGTGAACTGCGAGAAATATGGATAACATGGTATTCTGTCCTGCTCATGGAAGAATGGACGAGATCTGCCACCATGCTCTCCAATACATATGCCAATTATGGTTCAACGTACCTGAAAACTGATGTACAGTA